GTATATATGTATATGTGTATATGTATATCTGTATATGTATATGTATATAAAATATATATATATATATATATATAAATAAATAGGTCAGTGGCCCTTGGCTTGGTATTGTTGGCAGAATTCGGCCCTCGGCGAAAACTAATTGAGGAACCCTGCACTATATGGACAAAACACAGTGACATTTTTCAAAGTATCATTCCACAATGACACAAGGATGAGTAAATGATGAAGTTTTGGATTAACTAACCCTTTAAAATAACATTTAATATGCTGTACACTCACCAGACACTTTAGTATATACACCTATTCAACTGCTTGTTAATATAAATTAATGGCTGCAACTCAGTGCATATAGGCATGTAGACATGGTCAAACTGAAGGACAGAAAGAGGAAGAAAGGTGATTTGAATGATTTTGAACATAACGTGATTGTTGGTGCCAGATGGGCTGATCTGAGTATTTCAAAAACTGTTGATCTACTAGGATTTTCATGCACAAGCCTCTCTAGGGTTTACAGAGAATGGTCCAAAAAAGAAAAATGTGAGTGACAATTCTGTGGGTGAAAATACCCTTTTGATGCCAGAGGAGGATGGCCAGACTGGTTTGAGCTCATAGAAAGGCATCAGTAATTTAAATAACCACTCGTTACAACAGAGGTACACAGAAGATCATCTCTGAATGCACAATATGTCGAACCTTAAAGCAGATGGGGATAAAGCAGAAGTGGCACCTGGTGTGGTTTCTGTCAGTTTAGAAAAGGAAACTGAGGGTACAATTTCCATGGGCTAGAAGATTGGTAAAAGGTTGTCTGATCTGATGAGTCATTTGTAGGAACAGTTCAGGCTGGTGCTGCTGGTGTAATGGTGTGAGGGATTTTAGCTTGGCACACTTTGGGCCTCTTAGTACCAATTGTGCATTGTTTAAATGCCTCAACCTACCTAAATATTGTTGCTGACCATGTCCATCCCTTTATGACCACAGTGTTCACATCTTGTGATGGCTTCCAGAGGGATAACACACCATTGTCACAAATGTTCAAATCATCACAAACTGGTTTCTTGAACTTGACAGTGAGTTAACTATACTCAAATGGCATCCACAGTCACTAGATCTTTGGGATGTGGTGGAACAGGAGATTCAAATCATAGATGTACAATCTGTTGAAAAAAACACACACCATATACAGGTTAGGTATGTTTTGAAGCTGGTTGCTGGTTTGAGCTGGTTTAAGCTGATTCTGTCACAAATCTGAAGGGAGGACTCAAATGCAGAGTGAGTGTTAACAGATTTATTTAGACAGACTTGCAGACAAGACGAGAGATGGTGAGGAGAGGAGTGAACACAGTCCAAACACTAGGCAGGGAAAGACTTGGAAGACAGGCAGGCCTGAGTGATCGGCCATAGAGTCCAGTCCAGGATGGCAGAGAGCAGTGAAGGCAGCGAAGCAGGAGGCCGGAGGTAAGCAGCGGTGGCCTGACACTCCTCACCACTTCACAGCCTCTCCACACTCGTGATGTATCAGGCACAGCACAGGCCTAGCAGCGTGGCAGACCCGGGGAGATGACCAGTAGCTCAGCCTGCAAATCAGAACAGGAGGAACAGGTGACAACACTCAGACAAACGAGGAGAGAACGAATCCTAACTGGTCTGGACATCCAGCTGGGCATAGTGACAGGGGCAGACTTGGGAGCATTCTCTTGAACTGCGGAGAAGTCCTCCTTAGCTTCACGGATGGACACTGGACTTGTCCTTAGAATGCCCTTGGGGGCTGGTACTTGCACTGGGCTGAACTCTGGGGCGGGAGCCGACACTGGGGCGAGCTCTGGGGCTGGAGCCGACACTGGGCTAAACTCGGGGACTGGAGCCCTCCGTGGGCTAT